AAAATACACAGGTGATTATTGAAAATCTCGCGTGCTGATTGGTAGAAAAACTTAAACTATCACACGATAATCACCTCGAGCGATAATCCAAAATGGCGGTCAGCCGCTTTGCCGCTGTTACCGGGAAAAAATGTCTTTTATCTTCTTTTTTTTTTTTCATTTTTTGAAAGAATCACCTGTGTATTTATACTAAAACAATTATTTGCCTCAGCCTCAGTGAATATTGGAGAATATTTACCTCGCGACTACTTTGAATAACTGACGTCCTTGACTGACTGTGAAAACGCGTTTATGTTTCCACGTGAACACGTGGTTATATCAGTGCAGAACAATAGTTATTTAAATTGGTCGCCAAATTTCAATTTTTTGTATACTACTTCTCAAAATGCGCACGATTAAAACAATTTGCAATCGACCTCTTTCCAGTATATTCTCTTTTTTTTCCTTCCCCCTCTAATATCGCCTTGTAAAAGCTTCCTCTTATTCAGATGAAAATATCGATACGAAAAAAATCTTAATGCTAGTTTGTTAGCCGATAAGACAACTCACCAATACCGTCCACTCAACTTATCAGAGAGCTTGCATTCAATCATATCTACCGAAAACACCTCTTGAGATCCATCTCTTATTTTGATACTTTGGGTTTGGGATTAGGTTACGACGTCACCCGTGACGTCAATGGAAATACTAGACCAAAAAGTAGGCCTTATTTTAGGAATTATATTAGAATTTCGAAACAAAATATTGTCTACATATAAAAATTAATTTCATATTTAAGAACCCAAACATTTGACAAATTTTGGCGGATTATATTAATCATATTAATAATACCTATATCAAAGTAATACATGGTCGTTGTCTCCATATTGGATAAAAATGCGAATTATTTTAACCGCATTAAAATGAAATCCGTAAAAATTCCGATAAATCCTCTGCTCGCATTAATATTCTGTCTGCAAATTACCCGGATGGACTCTAAAATATACAAGTTCAATGTCAGTTTTTTAACTTAAAAATTTTTCTTTGTTTTTTCGTTCGTTTCCTTCTTCTTTTTTTTTTTTTTTTTTCTTTTCCGTTTGTAACACACGAATTCGTTTCGTGCGTATTTCTCTTGAATCAATTGAGTGTATCTCTGAAATCTACGCTGGCAGATGCGCAAGCGATTCTATTTCATTTTATTTATATTATTCATTTATTCTCTCCAATATTATCCTCAATCTGATCTTTTCTTTCCAACTGCAAGTTAAATCAAATGTTGTTTATTGCAATAGCTATTTATAACAAAATACGAACATATTTCATCCTCAAAAGTATTTCTTAGTAACTGTTTCTTGGTATTTTGCTGTCCAAATCTTTTGTATGAACTATACTATTTTGATGGAAGAAACAGCTGTACATTTTGTTTGCATATTCATCTAAATTATCGACGTTACTATTTATTTCAAAATCTGATTTCAAATTTTGTTTTCTGCATGTTATAAGGTTCTAAAACGTTTTCAATTATCTTTTACACACCTTTTGTTGATTAATTTTGAAAACCTTCTCAACTCTAAAGATGTTTTTATTATTATCATTATTTTTATTTTTATTTTTATTTTATTTTATTTTATTTTTATGCTTTTATCTGTTTTAATTTGATTTGTTTTGATTTTCAGAAATCATTCTCGTCGATACTGATCTCTTAAATCTATCAAACCTTCAACACAAGTTAAACCTTGGTTAGTGAGTCAAAAGGTAAGTTTTTTGGCGCCAAAATTTATCATAATTTATCGGCTTCCTCACTCGTTCTTGGTATTATTAAAGCTTCTTATATCGAGGCTTTACGGCAGTCATGTTGAATGGCAAAACCATAGGAATTTTGTTCAATTTAAAATGAAAACTAGCGAAAATAAACTACATTACGAAGTCGACTTGAATTCATCTTCAGGTAAACTTAAATCTAAAGAGCTCAAAGTACTTAAGAGCAAACTTACAAAAATCTAAATTATCACTAGAAGATCGCTTATTAGATTTTGTACCATAAGTTTGGACAAAAAAACAAATCTCTTCATAAAATTTTGAATTTTCACTTTCTGCCCAAAAACATAGCAAACGCTGAACACTTCTATTTCACGAGTAACGTCTAACTATTTCAGACCACATGTCATTCTCTTGAGTAGTTTCGGTTTATTTGACCACCGACGCATTTTATTTAATAGATGACAACGAAGTTTGAAAAATTATGTTATTTTCCCTCTTCGTCTAAATTCAAATAATTTTAGATCTCGTAGATCCTAGCATATTTAATTCTAAAAATTAACGGGATCGAGTAAATTAGGAACAGCATTTTATTATAGAATTTGTGAATACTTTTTTGCAAATATAAGTAAACTGTGACTGAACTCAATATTGAGTTAGCATTCTATCTTGATTTCCTGATAATGAAATAGCTATTCAGAAATGCTGTGTATAAATTTTGTCATGAATGTTCGATATATACACCAGATGTCTACTATAGATTTCATTTTATTTTACATTACACTAGGTTTAAAAGCTTCATGTTGATTTTCTTTAAATCTTTTTTTAGGAAGTTTTGTTCGTTGTTGTTTTGAAAAAAATATACTACATTAATTGTGTGAAGATTTGTTTATGTATAAGATATTACTGTCATTAGTTGTTACTTATCTCGCATGAATTTTTGATTAATTTGTCAAAGCCTACTTGGTACGTTTAGTAAATCTTCTCTTCTCTTCTCTTCTGTTCTGTTCTCTTCTCTTCTCTTCTCTTCTCTTCTCTTCTCTTCTCTGAGATCTATTAGAAACTGTCTCTTTTCCTTCTTTATCAAATTCCATTCTCTTGTCAGCTTGACTAGGCGTTCCTTACTCTATTTCATTTTGACTTTCAAAATGTGGTCAATAATTGCGAGGTGTTAAGCCATACAATCCACTACGACGTTTTCCCAAAAAGGATACTTTTCTTCTCAATCACTGAACTTATTTTCGATATCATTGACTTCAGCGAGTTCGAAGCCATTTCGCACGATTGAGACAAATTCTTCCAGTGATAAAAATTGAATTTGCTCTGCCGGACAAAGTTTGAAATGATTCAAATAACACAGCAAATTATAATTCTTTTGCTTTCAAACGACTGTTTCTTTTCGTTCCAAATTCCTCGTCGTTTGAATTCCATTGTTGAGAAAAAGGTGTTGATTTGCCCGTTGATCTTGAGATTCGCTGCAGCAATAACAAGCTATACATATCACAAAAACCACCACTGCAACACAGCCAAGCGAAATAGCTAAGATAATTCCTTCGGTGATCCCTCTGGTTGAATCTACTTCAGTTGGGTTTTCCAATCTGCTCATTTCAAGAAAAGACAGTGGTTCCTCGTAAAATAAAGTCTCGAACTCCACAAATTCCTTAATATTTAAATTCCAAAAATTATTCCTTTGAAAACGTCCCTGAGTTTTAGTTGACCAAAGTTGCTGTAGAATTAAAATTCTTCATGAAACAGTATGGATTTTTTTGCCGGTTGCGGAGCTTATTTTTATGACGTTTTGCCTTCTTTACGTGAAAAGCACTACTAAAGTTTGTTATTGATAAAGTTGCCAGATATTAGGCTTGATTCAAGGCAAAAGAATATAAGATATAGCTGTCTATTGAACTGCTAAAATATTTACCTTTAAGCCGATAACAATCTTCACCAAATCAGTTATAAAACCATACATTTGTGTTCTCTTTAATTTGCTTGTATAACGGGGTTGAACTAATTACATCCTAAATCCCGAATCTTTAAGTCAGATTAAGCTTTAATTCTTTTCCATGCTGCTTCGCAAAGAGTAAAAGTATATTTCACGGCACAATGTAAATTTGAAGCGGTCACCATGTAAGGTCTTGACTATGTACTCATTTAGTATACTGCTGAGGCGCGGGCGCATTTGCAATAAGGACGTTTTATCGACGGACATTTTATGATGTCAATATTCTCAAATTTATTTCCCATGAACCTCATCGTCCTCAACTAAAATAAATAGTTTCTATCATCCTTAGCTTTTCGTCTGTCCTCTAATTCCCGGTATGCTCAGAGTCATTTTATCAGACATCTTCCATGACACTCAACGTACGGTCCACTTCTTTGTCAGAAATATCTCATCAAAACTTTGTCAGATATTTCCCATAATAATCATTGTCCTCGTCTGTATCTGCAGATATTCAAATATTTCCCGGATGCAGTGTTCTAATTTGTGTGATGATATTTCCCATGATCCTCTGCAGTGTTTTAATATATGTCCCATATTTCCCATGGTCCTTTATTTCCTCTTCTTTCTCAGATATTTCCCATGCTCCTCTGCAGTGTTTTAATATATGTCCCATATTTCCCACGGTCCTCTGTGTCCTTATCTATCTCGAATATTTCCTATGATCCTCTGCAGTGCTTTAATATATGTCACATTTCCCATGGTCCTCTGTGTCTTTATCTATCTCAGATATTTCCCATGTTCCTCTGCAGTGTTTTTATAAGTCCCATATTTCCCATGGTCCTCTGTGTCCTTATCTTTCTCAGATATTTCCCATGATCCTCTGAAGTGTTTTTATATGTCCCATATTTCCCATGGTCCTCTGTGTCCTCATCTTTCTCAGATATTTCCCATGATCCTCTGAAGTGTTTTTATATGTCCCATATTTCCCATGGTCCTCTGTGTCCTCATCTATCTCAGATATTTCCGATATTTTTCCGATATTTTTCATGATTTTCTGACGTTTTAATCTATGTCATACATTTTCCTTATTCCTGAGTGTCCTTTTTTTCTTAGCTATTTACCATGCTTCTCTAGTGTCTAAACTTTCTCAGATATTTCCCATAATCCTCAGTTTTCTCGTTTTTTTCTTAGATATTTCCCATGGTCCTCTATATTCTCATCTTTCTCAGATATTCACCATGATCCTATGTAGGGCTGTCCACAAGTTGCTCCAATAACTCAAAAATGTTGCTCAAATAATTTTGCCAAAACGTTGCTCAAAAGTTGCCCCAAACAATTACAATTTAAGCAAGAGTAATATTTGCTCAATATTAAAAAATGTTGCTCATATGGAAAAAAGTTGCCCGTAATTGAAAAAGTTGCTCGAAATCGTTGCCGAGCAACTTGTGGACAGCCCTAATCCTATGCAGTGTTTGAATCTATGTCAAATATTTCCCATAATCCTCAGTGTCCTCGTTTTTTCTTAGATATTTCCCATGGTCCTCTATGTCATTAATATCTTTGATGGCTGCAGGTACCCGTAATCATTAGAAATAAAACTATATAGAGACAAAAAAGCTTCGAAATTTACCATGGTGATGTCATTCTCAGTTATTTCCCATCACCCTCAGCAGCCAGGTTCTAACAATTTATGTCAGATATTCTGCCCCAATAGGTTGCTATCAACAGACGTCACTTCCGGTAATAGCTGTGTTTTTAATGGCTTGTAGAATCTTGGAGGTAGTTTTGATCTCTTGTTTTCTGGTTTCATGTCGTACAAATAGTCAAATACAATAGTTTTAGGACTTATTTAATTTTGACATGTTTTGACTTAACATCCACCAGTTGCCCTCCAGTCAGCCGCTTGTTTGCCCCCCAGTCAACTCCAAAAAGTCACGTGATTGATAGTAAGCAATATACTGCACTTGGTGATGTTGATGTCACATGCTAACCAATAATAGAGGCCATGATGGCGTTCATAAGAAAAGAAGCTTATGAGAAATCGGCTTTTGTTGAATGTACACCAACAATATACATGGCCACCATGACGCCACTCGAAAATGAAATATGTGCTTTACTTGAAAACCAGATACAGCAGAATAAAAGAGTCATTTCCCCGTAAAGAATTGTCTTGTACAGCCATCATATTGTTCTACCGTGTTTCTGATGGCTGCAGGTGCCCGTAATCGCTAGAAATAAAGCTAGAGACAAAGACAGCTCAGAATATGATGTCAAATAAGTGATACAAAATCGCACCCAATTAGTGTTTTCGGTATCATTTCTTTTCAATTATGCTCATTTCCTGGCGGAACAACAAGATACTTTGAGCTGTTACTTTTGCAGAAGAACTAGTCGATTCTTTCAAGATAATCGCATCCTTCGCGAAGAGGCGAGAATTCGATGAATAGAGTTAAGCCGTTTCTTTTGTTTCGATTCTTAAATCGCATATCAACCTTCGATTACGATCTAATAATGACCTATTTACATAACCTGGCTACGTATTTTACCTCTAAAAATTTTTTTTCCTTGGTAAACCTAAAAGAATGCTATAATTTCTTCATTTTGGTGGACGTCTATCAAAGCGTTTCCACAAAATTCCATAGGCACGTGCCCCTGAAGCCTTTGTGTTTTCCGACATTGGCATGGAAACACTTTGATTGACGTCCACCAAAACCTTATTTTCTCGCGACAACAATTCTTACGATTTCGTGCTTATAATTGGGAAGCGCTATATAATCGTGAATAAAAATCAATATTTGGTCAATCCCTTGCCTTTAACGATTTTCTCTGAATGCTCTGGTTTTTCTTACTCCAAAAGACCTAACATAATAAATTACAATTCGATCTGTGAGTTAGTCGTGCCCTGACTTAGATCACCCCAGAGGTTGTTATACAGGGTTCGATCTGTGAGTTAGCCGTGCCCTGACTTAGATCACCCCAGAGGTTGTTATACAGGGCTCGATCTGTGAGTTAACTGTGCCCGGCAGCACAAAGGTCAGTTGTTTCAGGGTTTGGTCTGTAAGTTAGCGGCTATCTGACTTAGACCAGCCCAAAGATTATTTTTGTGACCAAACAATACCGTAAACCTTAATATTTTTTTTAGTTGAAAATTTCAAAAATAAAAATTGATTCGCGTAGTAGCTTTCGGGATTTGATTTGCTTGTGGTTTTAACCACTCTAAACAGCATATCAATTATCCCACAATGTGTGATTCATAAGAGACAAAAATCATCCAAATATTTTATTATAATTCAACTGGGAACCGATGAAATACATATGTACATCCTATAATAAGTTCTCAAGACTCCCTTGAGGATATATGACAATGAATATTTTTCAAAAACATTTATTTATCAAATATAAAACAATAAATCGATCCCAGAACGAACAAATAGTAGTCAAATGGCAATAACAGCTTGTAGGAGATAGACCACTTTCCAATTTTAAGATCACTAATTTCAAATATCAGGGACTTTGTTGTACAATCGGCAATTTACCCGCGGCTTGTTAGAGGAGAAATATCCTTATCAATCAACACCTCCACCCTGCAAATTAAATGTAGCCTTATCTGGCTTCAAAAGTCAACTAGTTACCTTCAACGAATAAACCGTCTTTATCTTTTCAGTATCGATTCAAATATTTAGTACACATTCATAGCATGACTCAAGGTTTTTTCCTCGTCGTAGCATTAGTTTTTTTTGGCTTGGCGAGTAAGATGATAAGTGATTTGAGCACCAAAGCCGAACTTTTATAGTCCATTCATGTTGAATTTCTTTAAATGCAATCACACTTCTAAGTTTCTTTTTCATTAGAAGTTTGTTCAGGTTGCTTGGAGCTCCTCAGTCTACTGAGCTAAACATAAGTCAATGAACAAATCTTAACTTCTCTCTCCGTTTTGGCTTCATTTCTCCGCGTAACCCATACGTTGCAGTCATTGCAATTGAGAAGAACTGGAGTCAACTTTGATTTCAAGCCTTTCATTGTCAACGTTTTATTGTTTAATTCGTACCTTTATCCTTTAAATTTTGAAGAAACTTTACCTAATCCACTTTAAGAAAACTGTCCTTGTCCTTCCTTTTTGACTTAATTCTCCTTCTCATGTTCTTGTGGTGTTGCCGTAAGAGGTTTACCATTTTTTAAAAATCCTCACCTAAATAACTACAATCGTTAAGTTGCTGGATTATCCTTAAAGGTCTTGGCAGATTATTTTTTGATTATTCTTAAGATAAGATTCGTTTCGTTTTTTTCATTTTGGGAGAAAGTCTTCTTCAAAACAACACGTCCATGCCAAGCACATGTAAATCGATGCAATGGACGCCAGCACAAAACCCACGAACATTACCGATGACTTCTCGTCGAAGAACATCCTTGCTGTCTTGCTGGACGCAACCCTTTGATGACTGAAGCTAATGGGCTGAATCGTCTTGCCTCTAACAGAGCAACTCAGAAAACTTAATACAAATATAACTAGTACAAGATTATTACTGAATGATAAGCTTGCCATGACTTTAGGGAATTTTAGAGCTTGAAGCAAAAATTAATTTATAGATAGTTTGTTGTGAAGAGAATGATTTTAAAAGAGAATGGTTTTTTGTTTTTACCTATAGCTTAATTACGTCAATTATTTTGCACCACGATGCTAGATCCGAGATTATTGTCTATCGCGAATGATTAGGTTAGAGAAAGGAGTTATGGAGACAAAACAGGAAGCGAAGATGCAAAAGGACAAGTAGATAAGGAAAATGGATTAGAAGAGAAAGAATAGAGACAAGAGAACAAAAGAAAGGTAAACGATTAGGAAAATAAAAGATTGAAATTTAGATTAAGTAAGTACGTCTTTATTCGTACGTCATAGGATGGTTATTCGAATTAAAAGATTTTGATTTGTATTCATCTGTGTTTGTCTCTTAGAACAAGACGAACGAACGAACGAACGAACGGACCGACGAACGGACGAACGGACGGACGGACGAACGAACGAACGAACGAACGAACGAGGTCA